AGATAAACAATGATTAAACATAATAAATTTGGACAAAAATGTGAACTGCTTCCCACATAGTTTCAATGAATAAATTGGTCGAAGCTGTTCGCTGTTAATTGTCCGAATCGATCATCGAAGATAAGACAAACAAGCAAAAAAGGAAGAGAAGTTGTAATTTATACATGGGAGACCGCGGTAGCCAAGTGGTTAAGGCATCAGCCAGTAAAACCGTGGTCATGGTCGCTTCTGGGTTTTTTTCTGACACCTAAGCAATGAAAATTGACACTTCACTCATCAATTACAAATTGTATACACATGGGTCTGTAGTTGGAAGGCTCAGTTTGATTTCTACTTTGAGAATAGGAATGAAATAACTAGTTAAAAAATTCTGGGAAGATTACTCTGTTAGGAATGATATATTAAAGAAGACAGTCAATACATTGTATGATTTTCATTGATAGAAATTGCGTGGAAACAACTCCAATTTTTAAGGATAATTGGAGTTATATTGTCAGGTCCCCTTCTTTTTCTAAGAGTCTAGGAGTATGAGAATGTAATTTATTAGTGTGAATGGAAACAGAATTTTGCTTTTACAGAAAATATTATTTAATATATATTTTATAAAATAACCAATCTTGCTTTCTGGTTAATATTGTCTTATAAAAAGACAAAATGTGAGTCAAATGAGTGAAACAAATGAATTTTATTTATTAAATCCTATGGCACAAAATCTTACTTTATCATAGTCCCATGGCCATCTACTTCAATGCTATGAATACCATTGAATTCACCAACTTTACACCTCAAACTCAACCTAAAATCTTTTATCATACCTGTCTTAAGATCTCACTCACACACATGTAATGGCAAAATCTTTATATATATATATGGCAAAATAAAATACTTACGTGGTACAAGTGGTATAAGCTGATAAAAGAAATCAACTCCATTTTTCTCTATATTTGCAAATAGGATTTTATTGTTTTAGATATCAAAATGTTATTTATATGCCACTTCAAATTTGTAATTGTTGTACAGAATCGATAATTACACAGCCAAATTGTTTGTGAACTCGTAGAATTGAAGGAAATTGTGGCTGTGCAATCATGTTCAAATGTTCAACAAATTCCCACAATCACCAAAGTATTTAGGTATATTAGGAATGTGTTCATCTATGTTAGGAATTTTGTGTAGATTTTGTATAAAATTTGAGCCTATTTTATTCAGAAATAGACATTTACATTTTCCTAGTTAAAAACGTAATACGCTTTTGTTTAATATTATTTTTTTGCTATTGTCATCGCTTTTCAAAATGCTGGTTGTCAACAATGGTATTTTATTCAGGATTATGTACTATGTACACTCCTTGCATAAAATCAATAAATAATACAAATACCTAAACACAGATCAATAAATAATACGACATATTTTATTAATGTTCTTTCATTTCAAACTTTTTGACAAGGTTATTTTTACTGAAAATTTGAATTATGTTTAGGTATTTACAAATAATATTAACCACAATCATAATAATTAGTTTTTATCATGAAATAATTTCTAATAATTTGTAATTATGACATGAATAACATGTAATAATTAGTAACAGGAAACAATGTTTAAGTGAATTTAAATTCCTGAGAAATGCAGCAACCTAGTTTGAAACATTTTCAATTTTTAAAAAGTGTTTAACAAGCTAAACAAATTAAAGTGCTGATTATACATGTCTTAAGGTAAATGTTTAATAATAAGTAGCTGAATGACGAAAACATTACCAATTTCCTATAAATGTTTGTTTATAGCTAATGTTGAGTATATATACATATAGATTTATTTATACACTGCATGGTAAATAAAGAAAACATAACATTTTTGGACATAATATATTATTACTAAACTATAAATTTTATCATGTCTCAAGCTTTCTTATACAACATTTATAAGGCAGAGATTATTGATGATTGTACACAGTTTTCAATATTCAGTCGACTCTAAATAATTCGAAACCCAAGGAACTACAAAAATAATTTGAATTATCAAGGGGAAAGAAAAAAATCAAACAGTTGTATATAAAACGGTAAAAATAGTGAAAAAGTGGAAATATATTAACTGTAAAATTAAACTTTGTTATGTATTGAAGGTAGTATTGTTTCAATATGTCCTGCCATCGTTTGTGATGATCCTGAGAACACATTGACAAAATAATGAACGCTGAACATAAACTAGAAAAACTTCTAAGACACTTTAGGCGGTAAAAAAGTAAACTTATATGTGGAAATTTAAAGAAACATGAAAAAGTTTAAATTATAAAGTGGGGAAGTGGCTCTATTTTAATTTACAGAATCTCTTTCCCCTTGTTATAACAAATATTTCATTTACCATATATCAAAATACATTGAATTTTTTCAATTTACAAAAGTGACCTGCTGAGGAGTTTGTACTATCAAGAAATTTGAATTATCAAGTTTCAAATTAACAAGAGCCAACTGTATAATGCTTTTATATATATTATAAATATATTATTATTTATCTATAATATATATTATTATTATATATATTTATAATATATATGATATAGCACAGTATAAATACATCTATCCATAGACATTATGCTTTTTGAATTATTTCAACTACTGTATTTGCATCAGATGGAATTTAATTTAATTTTGTAGTTATAATATATTCATTAAATAAATAAGATATGCAAGAAAATAAAATAAATATAGTTATAATGGTGCCAATTATTTTATTATTATTCAAAGATATTTAAAATATAACCAATGTGTGAATTTTAATAATTAACATTTTTTTAAATACACTTTTATTATGGCTATAACAAAAATATTAGTTTTTAATTGTTTTTATGTTGTATATTTATTGTTATAAAAACAGGCTTTGAAACGAATGTACAATTTTTGTATATTAATACTGTTTATTTTAATAAGAAAATCACATAATATTGTCAATAATCTTCTAGCTATTTGAGAAATAAATATACCAATTTGCAAACCAATGTACTCACACATAAATCTTTGAAGATTATGACTTAAATAATAAAGCTATGAGATCAGGATGAAGCCATAAAAGTAAAAAAAAAAAACCAACTTGTTTTCTGATGTTGAACTTTCGGCTGTATTTGACGCCTTCCTCAGGGCTCTATTTAATTAAGAGCAATTTGTTTTATTACACATTATATATAAAATTATAAGGATTATTCAACTAACTTAATTGGGTTGGTTTTTATGGGTTCATCTCTGATCTAGCTTTATTATTTATCATTGAAGGCCAACTACCTTATTATAACTTTAAATAAAAGTTTTAGTTTTGAGGAAATACATGTAAGAGTAGAAATTTGTTTTATATCAAATAATTCAAAAATTGCCATTATTCAGAATGTAAATACAGTTTATATTAAACTGTTTTGTTGTATATGAAGTCCTTTACATATAAGAATGTTCCCATGAATGTTAAAACATGAAGATTTTTTTTCTTGAATTTATTCCATGGTGTCCCATTATGTTTTTTTTCTCTCGTATTTATGTAATATGTTGGGCACTTTTTAAAAAATAGTCTTCTATATACTTGAAAACATTCACACTATGAACAGATTTGTTTTACTTAAGAAAAGGCACAACTATAGGAAGAAGAAACAAATTCATAGACGTACACATAAGAGAATAAACTGCTTTTTTACTTAAACAATAAAGAGAAACAAAAAATATAGTTTCTATCAAACCAAAGTATTGTAAACAAAAACAAAATAATAAATTACACTTTTTACATAGCTGTTAATTTTTTCATTCATCAAATTAATGTACATTACAAATATGTTTTTGTAAACCTATTTACATATGTACAAAGGAAGGTGCCAAGCATTTCATAACCAAATTTTCAAATTGATTATTTAACATCAATTTATGTTTTATTTTGACATTTTTGTTTTGAAACAAGCTTAAGCTTGTCAACGATAAAATCGGTACACATTTTATTAATGTCAAGTTGAACGTTTTACTTATTTATTTTATTTTAAATGTAATACTTAAAACTTTGAATTAATTGGGTGTACAATACTTTAAACATGAAAGTATTTGATGATTGCAAGAAACTTAAAAATGTTTTATTCAAAAAAGTTTGAGGAAATTGATGTTTTGATTAAAAATTTTATATACCTAAATCAAAAAATATGCAAAATTTGTATTTCATTTTTTTTAAATATTTTATGTTTGAAACAAATAAGGGTTTAATCCCTAGTGACAAATCACTTTCAAAAATCACTACCATTATAAACAACAACAAATTATACTTTGTTGCATGTCCTTGCTTATGTTTAAACAAATTTAATTTAAAAAAAAAAGAATATGTACAATCAGTTTACATACATCATCATATTTTTGTAAATTTTGGATGTTATTTAATTCATTTGAATACATATTTAATTTTAATTAGTTAAAATCTTAAGGAAAAGTTATTAGACCCTGAGTTTTCTCTCTAATTTTTCTCATATCCTCTATCATTACAAATTTGTACATTTAAAAAACTGGAAAGATTAATTCTCATATAGAAAAAGATAGAAAATCGTTTGAACAATCTAAAGTGGCATATTTTATCTTGAAGATATAGAGAAAAAACAGCCTGGTTAGAGAAGGAATCAGGCATACGAGAACGAGGCATGAAAACTGAATGGATCTATTAAATTTGGAAAATTTATTAACACAGCTCATGCATAAAAGTGCACATATCACAACTTTAGTGCAAACGTTCTACCTCCCCCCTATAAAGTTTACGTTAGTAGTTAGTAATTTTAGTTATTTAAAAGTAATTAAAAGAAATCGCTTATTCCTGAAAGTATGTTTCAGACAGTGTTTTTTATTTTACTTAAAATATTGGGCTTTTAAAGTGTTTTATATGATATTTGTATGTTGTATTTGTTATGGTTTGTACATGTTCTTTATTAAGATCCCTTGAAGTATATGAAAAGAAAAAAAAAAAAAAAAGAAAAAATACAGTGCCCTTGTTATTCCTTTGCTACCATTATCAACCTCAACTGTCCCATGCAATTTCAAATTAGGAATTGATAACATTCTAAAAATGTATTGTGCTACTTTTTAAAGAAACTTAGCCTGTAGGCCAGCAGTCATGCTTGTATCAAGAGCTTTAAAAAACTGTAAAATATGGAGTTATGGTCTGATGATACCACCTTTCATAGTTTTAACAGGCTCTTTAACCACTAAAGCAATATGAATTCCTGTCAAATATTCAATAATACTAAGATATGTATGACGATTCGAAGATAAAACCTACCTTAGAAAAGGCATAATAGGATATAAGGAGCATAATATACCTTAGAACATTTACAATAGGAAAGTGAGCAAGGACACCATATTAATATACAATTATTTAATAAGTTTATATTAGAAATTATAAAACCAAATTAGCTAAAGGCTAAAACTCACATGGAAAAAAAAATGCCAACTCATTTCTGCTAGTGGTGGAAGTATAACAATTTTTCTTACAAACTTAAAAAAAAACAAAAAAACTATGATTAAAATGTTATGTGAGCAGATAAATTAGTCTTTATATAAATGATATTGCTTGAAACCAGAAAAAAATATGCCTGAAGGAGAATCTTACAACCCTTGGAATAAATATAAATATTATGCAGGGTGGGTGACCAAGACCCGAGGGGTTAAATGCCTAGGTAGACTCGTACCCCGACCCTTGGAATAAATATAAATCATAAAATTATATTCAGATTTTATTTAGTATACATATGGGAATAAAAATTTCAATAGTTCAAATAACAATGTTTCTATATGAGGCCTAGATACTTGGATGTTAAAATAAAGAATTTAAAAAATTAATGAAATAAAACCTAAAGGTGTATCAGACGGACAGATGTTGAACGTTTACTAGGCCAGATTCACTACCATATAAAATGGATAGACGGTTGTACCTCAAATGCATACACCACACTATGAAGCAAAGTCAAGACTTAAAAAAAAGGACTAGGAGAGGACTTCACTCATATTAATGTTTAATTTTACAATAAAGCAAAAATCAAAGATTTTAAAAATGAATAGTTTATTTCATGCTGTGAACCTAATTGGAGAGAGGAAAAGATTTTTTGAGAGTATACAATTTTTTTTGAAAACGTAGGACAAAAATGTAAATTTAATTACCTTAAAAAAATAAATATCGGTGAGATTTTGATCATGAATTTGCCTGGTTATGAAAACTTAGATAACATTTATTTATATCTAGTTAAACTATTATTGAACATGTAAAAAAATTGCAGTATATTAAGGAATCAATTTAAGAAATTTTCAAAAACACTATTGTGAATGTAGAGGATAATTGTAGAAAGTCGTGTGGACGAGAAATAAATTGTTTTAATATTATATTTGCTCTGTGATTAGCAATTCAGTCTTTTTGTCTTGACACTAGGGAGCATGCTTTTATGCTTCAAAGAAAAGTTAATTCCGGACCTTACGCTTACTATTTAAGTAGTCTACTATTTTACAAAGGCAAATAAGTCATTGTAGTGAGACCGTAGTATAATATAGCCTTTACAGCAGTCAGATTTTTATTTTTATTGAAACAAAATTACATACTTGAATCATCCTTAACCAATATTTTATTTAGACACTGCTTAGTACAATATACATGCAGCAAAAGAAGGCAGTTATTTAAAGACTATATAGTGTAACAGACAAGAGGCCATTGATCAGCAAATCAACTAGTTTTAATGTACATTTCTACACTAACTGTCTCTTCCTTACATTATAACTTTAGATATTCAAATAATATACACACATTAATAAGTACATAAAATAATTAAAAAATTGACTATGCGTCAGACTCTTTGAGATCTTGAAGCCTTGCTAATTGATGAGGTTCTAGCTCATCAGGTATGACGTCTTGTTTCTTCTCTGAAACTGAAACCACTACCTGAGAATTTTCGGTTGTACTTGGTCCTGTATAAGTATCATCATCGGTTGAACCTCCTCCTTCGCCACTGACGGTTGCAGAACTATACTGAGGCGGCTCTTCATCTCCATCTTCAGGCAATTCGTCCGGTTCAGGAGGCAAAGGGAACGATTTATTGTCTTCTACCATGGGTGTCGCAGCGGTTATGACGATCTGAGCAGTTTTCAATCCGAAATCAGGATCTTTTTGAGTTTCATCTTTCACAACCTCCTAAATATTAAAAAAAATAAAATAAAATAAAAAATAAAATATATATATAGTAAAAGTAAAAGTTTTATTGAATTTTAAAACTTTTTCTAATTTATAATTATTGTTTAATTAATAAAGAGGACAAGACAATTGATATAAAAAAATTAATCTGTTAATTAAAACTTTACTAATTACTATGTTTTAAGAAGTTCATGGATATCTTTGATAAAATAAAAATCATTTATACTCCCTATTTATCTATTTATCATGACAATCATTAAATATGACAGTGTGATGGCACCTGGCCAAACAGAGTGAAAATATTCAAATGAGAAAGATCAAAGAAATTTAAACTACATTGTTAATTGTGTATTTTTGTCCATTTCTTAGAAATGTTTTAAATTCTGGCGAATAACGCACGCGGTTAATCTCAATTACCATTAGAAATAAATGAACGGTGTAAAATAAATGTAATCAAAATTGTGTACCTGTGAATCTCCATCGTCTGCAACTGAGGCGTATACAAAATTGTAATTATTAGTCATTAGCCGTCAAACAAATAATAATATTGCATATTACACAAAGCTTGTACATTTTAAGCATAAGTTAATTGAAAATGCGCAGTTACTAATATCATATTGTGCAATTTAGTTAGCATTTCCATACAAATTATTCCGTTTATTTATTATTTTTTTCTTCTTTGCACTACAAATTCTTAATTTGTCAAGGAGTTAAAACAATCCAACAAAATGGTATAATATAGAAAAAAATTAAATTGAAACATTTTAAAAACACAGCTTACCTACAACAGATATTTGAACATCTTCAGAAAATTGAGTGTCATATTGCTTTTGTTGTCCATGACTTAGTTCCATAGAAAAGCTATCTTTTTCCTTCCCTGCTAAGAAGAATTGTTATTGATTTTTTTTTCTTTAAATGGTTAGGGATGGTTAAATACTTAATACTTAATTATTCGAGAATCAGAATTCATTTTTTAACTTACCAACAATAGGATTATGTTCTACAACTGGAGTCGGTTGTGTGATTATTACTGATTGTGGAGCAATAAGAAATACAGGCACATCTGGAGGAGTAAAAACTGGAGGAGCAGATCCCGGGGGAGTATCGTCACACTAACAACAAGAAAACGACATGTTGTTTATAAGTTGTGAAATTTAAATGTCCTCAAGATACAGTTGTAATAGTTAAGATGTCTACATAACTATGGATGTTGTTAATCCATTTATATACATAAAATTAAGACAAAATGTGAAATTAGGAACTTTAAAAGCTAAATTAATATAATGACATTTATTATACATATAATTTATTTAGTACTTTAATACTCTTTCACTACTGATGGAAAACGCCATGAGTGGTGTTGTGATAAAGGTTTATCAATTAATCCAGCTAAACTGGAATTGATAATGTTTAGTAAGAGAAGAACATTAGGTAATTTTAAAAACCCTAAATTTCAGGGCGTAGAANAATATCATTTGGAAGAGGATTAATAAGTGTTGACATTCATACAAATGAGTAATCCTGTAAACGTAAACAGAATATTTTATATAGATTTTTTTTAAATGAAAACTTAAAATCCTGCATTATTTTCCGGACAACCCGATAATATATACAGGAAAGGCACAATATCAATGGAACAATGTACGAGAATTGTCAGTAAAACATGAGGTATCAAACCATGGGTAGCCAAATGGCTATATACTGCAATTATTCTACCTAGATTATTTTTCGCAGCTTTAGCATGGTGGAAAGGTATAGAAAATAAAGGGAACAGTAACAAATTAAGGTCATTTTAAAGACTAGGTTGTTGATGATGACGGGAGCATTTTCAACTACACCCACTCTAGCACTTGAAATCATAACCAGTACACATTGAGGTTAAGGTCAGAGCACTATCATAAGTGCAAACATGTCATTCGAAAATCTCACAATTACTGAGTAAGGTTGACAATTATTAAGCATTAGTGATAAAAAGATTAATTGAAGACCATCGCAACATATACTGCTACACAGATGGTTCACTTATCAAAGGTAGAGGGAATGGTGCAGGAATCTGCATATCCAAATTAGGAATCAGCATCTCCTCCCCTCTTGGCAATAACACCTCGGAAATCTGGGCCATTAATGTGTGTTGTAGAACACTTATGGAAAATAAAATGAAGGGAAAAGATATTAGAATTTTTCTGACAGTCAGGCTAGTCTTAGGTCATTACAAAAAGATTTGTCAACCTCAAGACTGATGGAGAAAACCGTATATCTTATCAATAGGATCTCTTCCAGGTTTGAGAACAAGGTAACCCTTATTTGGATACGAGCACATAAAGGACACCATGGTAATGAAAAGGCGGATAGCCTGGCCAAAGAAAGCTCTAATACTGTGTTTGTCGGACCACAACCGGTATTACCTCACTCTATAAGCACAGCAAAATAGTATTAAAAACTGGGGTATGAAACAATTCCTTAAGGAGTGGATTTATCCCCAACAGGCAATCAAAAGAGTTTGTTAAGGTGATCAAACCAGCAGAATTGAAATGGCCTAACAAATCCAATCCTGTGTAATATCCAATTATTCCTAAATATTTTAATTTAAAAACTTTCCTCTTGTTCCGACTTCCCAAGATAAGAACTTTATCGACACCCTTCACTCCCACCATTGTTAAATCCACTCCTGGACCTCCCACCAGGGTATATAGCAGGATTGTAATACTTGAGGAGTCTGTTTCCCATAAGCCCTGCTCTGTGAGCACTCCTGTGGAAACATCCTCACCCCATAATCCTGATGTTGGTTATCATACCAGATTGACTATTTATGTTTTTAATGAAATCTTTATATTAGCTCTCCTATGTATATATGTATGGTATGGTAGAAAAGGATACTAGGAAGCAGGTTTTGTATTCCCCAGGCACTGCAGCCTTCTGGCTTATTGTACCTTCCTAGTTCCTCAGTTCAGTCAATAGACTCAATCCTTCTTCTTAGAAGTATTAGGTCATTGACTGTTGCTGCTGCAATTTGATTCCCTACATTTTTTCCGTACGTTAGGTTAAACGTCCATTGAGCTGTTGCTTCGCATTCGAAGATGATATGAGTGGCTGTTTCCTCCTCCTCATTACATAATCTGCTTGTACATATGTAACTACTGTATAATTTTAATAGGCTTTGCCTGTAAAATAAATACTTTTCAAATATTGCTAGACTTGATGGGAGAAAGATTAGGATGAGTCGATTGTTTGCTGCACTCTCTTTTGACGGAGGATAGAATGTGTGTGTTTGTACTTTGGAAGATAGAAAGAGAAAAAGTTTTCTAGTTCCAAATTAATCTGTCCGGTTTGGATTTTCGAAAATCTGGAGAAAAAAAGGATAAAAGGAGAAACGTGCGCGCGCCGTATCGAAATCGATAAAAATTGTCGTCGCTCTAAAGGGCGAAGTGTGAACTTAGTTATAACACTACTGTCGACTGCAGCAATTTGTTGGATTTGATCTCGTGTCGGACTGGAACCCGGACTCCACCAGTTTTCAGCCACTGTCTGGGAATGTGGACTTCGATCTGCCCGGCCACTCATCAGGTTAGCTGAGCTGGTCGGCCTGATTTCCAGACTTGGCCTTTCAGTGAATTTCTCCCGTCTTTTTATTATTATTATTATTATTTTAATGGACCGACAGATTAATTTACGGTTTGTTTTTCGCCCTCGTGGCTTCACTGAAAGGGAAATAGGGAGTCGCACAAGCGAGTCGATTTCGACATTATTTAAAATATTATAACGATCAGATTGGAAGGTATAACTTTCACTTACACTACTGGGATTAAGGCTTTCACGAATTCTGAAACAATTTTTACACCTTTCTTTGGGTTGAAAATGTCATTCAGAGCTCTGAAGTTTAAACCGAAGCCTAAAATTGCAGGTGTGCCGAGCAGTAACAACCGGTCGGCTACCAATGTTCGCAGGACAGAAGATGATTCGGCACAGCCGGCTTTGCAGGACGTACAACCAGAAAAAGAAATAGTAACGGAGAATCGCCATGAACCAAAAAATACCGAAAAACCTGAAGTCTGTGTGGATCGTGTCGATCAGAATCTTTCTGAAGCGAAGTCGAGTGAAGATCGTCGAGAAGTTACAGTTACAGTTTCTAAAGAAAACGATCCAGTGAACAATGTGACAAAGATAGCTGATACAGTTTCTAAAGTAAACACTCCAGTGATCGATGTGACAAAGGCTGCTGAAGTCAGTTCGAACGATCAGGGGTCGCAGACTGCACCAAAAACTGTGCGTGGGTTGACTTTTAAACCGAAACTCTCTGTGATCGATAGGCTCGATAGAACTACCAAGTTCTCTTCGTCGACGTACGGCAAGATGAGCCATGAAGCGAGGCAACAAATGCTGAAGAAGTTCGGGACTTTGACACCGGATCATCAAAATTTGACGATGCTCGATCTCATTTATTTCAACCCGAAAGACAACCCGATGAAACACAGGTCGGAACCGAAATGTATAAAAGATGGCAATACAAAATTGCCCTCGACCGAGTTGAGTTGCGACGATGAAGAGAGAAAAGAAGAAGAGCGAGTCGACGACGAAGGGCTGGAATCGACTGTGCCAGTGCCTCAGTTAAAAATATCTCCAGACGGTTCGGTGATGATTGCACCTGAGAGTCTTATTTTGAGGAAAAAAAACCCTGATGAGAAGAGGTCGATCATCGGAGAGGATGAATTTACCAAGAGGAGAGCCAGAAAGAATCCCAATCGTCAAAAATGGACTTTTGAAGAAACTGTCAACTTTTATAAAGCTCTCAACACAATAGGATCGGATTTTGAAACGATGAAGTCAATTTTTCCAGACAGGTCGCGTAAAAGTTTAAAATGCAAATTCAAGAGGGAAGAAAGAATCAATGGAAGATTAGTGGATAAAATGTTAGGTACCCAATACGCCAAATTTGATTTGGAAAAGTTAAAGGAAGAATTAGCAGTCGGTGCTGTCTATCACACTAGCCTGAACAATATAAAAAAGAATAGAATCGAGACTGTTGTAAAAAATCCTGTGAAAGAAGTAAAAGTCAAAGAAGTCAAAGTAAAACCGAAAAAAAAGAAAAGGCGTAATAAGAAATTTGATGGTAATGTAGAATTTGATAACAAAGAAGGTAGTGTTGAAAAATGTAATATGAAGCTGACTGACAATTCAAATGAAAATAAACAAACACAAAATAAATTAGGGGATGATCTGTTCACACCGTCAAGTTCCGAATCGGAGTGTGAAATGCCTAACGGAAAACGAAAAAAAGGACATAATCTTAGGTTTGTCAAAAACTTATTGAGATTAGAAGATTTGAATAGTTTTAAAAGTGGTAGTGATAACATTATTATTAACACGAACATAAATCTTAACGGTGTAAAATACAGTCAGTCCATAACGTACAACCCCAACAATCTTGATCACCCAGTGGATGTGAACGAAACCATATGTCATTTTGAACAAATTTTGGATGATGATGAAGTTTCAATTTCAAACAATAATGAATCAGAGCCCGTTGACGACCCTAGTGACTGTTTGGAGGATGAACATATCGACTGCCCCGAATGGACTGAAAGTGGCCAAGAAATTGAAAATGATGTTCCCAAATAGTTCATTTCATTGTAAATGTGTAACTACACTTCTATCTGTGATGAATAATTTAATTTAATAAATGGAGATTTATTATTAAATAAAGGAAGATATTTTTTTTATTTTATTTTATTTTTATTTTATCTAATACCTATGACTAACTATAGGATAAGTACAGCAATCCCTTAACATTCGCTGGTGTTTGGTTCCAGAAAACTGCCATGAATGTTGTCTATTTTTCTATGCTATAAGAAAGGTTCCATGAGGCCAAAAATTGAGGTACAAATCAGAACGAAAAAAAAAAGTTTATTTAAAACTTAATAGAAGACAACAGTGTTTGGACATGGTAATTGTTTTTATTGTTTGTATTTTTTGATTTGCAAGGAAAGAAATAACTATTAATTGTTCACTGTTTCGCTGAATAATTAATTTCTTTAAGAATTTCTACAAGGGTTTGAAGTGGCCTCAACATCCATTTTAAACTTAAAACTTCGATTTAAAGATGGGTCGAAATCGATTGATTTTTTAATAAGTTGGTCCCCCAAGGTTGAAATTTCCCTGAGCTGTTTTGAAGAAAAGCTTTGACCTGCATAAAAAATTTAACATGCCTTAAATTTAAATTCTTTCACCAAGTTTTGGAAGAGGAGGCATTTTGCAACACAACTACCATGAGAGAATAGAAGAAGAAGAAGAAAAATAACTTTATTCTGGGACTGGGGTCCCCTAAGAATAATTTACATGAAATAAATAAAGGAAGTTCCTTCTATGAAGTTAAAAGTAAAAAAAAAGATAGAAATAGTGGCACAAGTATACCAATAAGGCAGGACAGAAGAAAAAATTACGAGAATATTAAACAAAAATAACAAATGTTAATGTGAGGTCTCTGCTTGGAGGGAAAGGAGGTGATTATACAGGTGGGATTTAAAGGAGGAAAAGGAGGCAGCGTGACAAATAGAAAGGGGAAGGGAGTTCCAGAGTTTAGGGGCTCGGATCAGAAAGGATCTTTCGAAGGTGTGGGTTGTATGTTGCAGAAGGATAAGGTCGATTCGGGATGAGCGGGTCTTACGAGTGAGATGTGAGGAGTTATTGGATGTTGTAAGGAGGACGACGAGTATGGAAAAGAAAGCAACCTAGGAAATACTGTGCTCGGAAGGAAGGGAATAGCCAGGAAAGTTGGGAATACAACCCCGACACCCGGGATCCCCATGGGGTGCTGTACACAAATCTTACGCAACTATTCATAATACGCTTCAATCGCGTGTTCTCCCCCTCCGAGAGACCACCGTATGCCAAACAGCTATAATCGAAGAAGGGAAGTATAAGGGAAGATACAAGGAGTTTGCGGGTGGAGAAAGGTAAGAGAAGCCAGGACTGACGAAACAGGAGGCAATGGAATGGCGGGAAGTTTGGGAAATGTGAGAATGCCAGGAAAGGTTTTGGTCAAAGACTACTAGGTTTTTAACCGAAGAGCAGAAGGGGATGGGATGATTATTTAGCATGAGAGGTGGGATGCTGGGGAGGGAATTGAGGAGTTGCCTGGACCCGATAATTATGGCGGTGGATTTGGACAGATTGAGGACTAGGGAATTTTTATGGGCCCATTCGTCGATGGAGTTTAGGTCTTTTTGGATCTTGAGAGTGGCCGAGTGAAGATCGGAAGGGTGGAAGGATATGTATATTTGGGAGTCATCGGCATATAGGTGATAGTTACAGGACTGGATGGAGTCGGGCAGATCATTGATATAAATGGAAAAAAGGATAGGAGAGATGCTAGAGCCTTGGGGCACCCCAGATTTTATAGGGAGGAAGGAGGAGGTAAGGCCAATGGGAAGGGAGACAGCTTGGTTGCGATTAGTAAGGTAGGAGTGGAACCAACGGATGGTGCTGGCGGAGAAGGAAAAAGATTCGAGTTTAGAGAGGAGAGAAGAGTGAGGGACAGAATCGAAGGCTTTAGAAAAATCAAGAAGGACAAGTATAGTAACTTTCCGTTTGTCCATTGCTAAGTGGAGGTCACTGGTAATTTTTATTAGTGCTCATTGGGTGAAATAACCTTGGCGGAAGCCAGATTGGAAGGGGTTGAGAAGATGGGACTGTTCAAGGTGCCTGGAGACTTGTGCTTGGACTAATCTTTCTAGGGGCTTGGACAGGTTTGAGAAGATGGAAATGGGACAGTAGTCTGTAGGGGAGGATGGGTTGGGTTTTTTTTTACAGGGTGGACAAGAGCTTTTTGCCAGGCTGTCGGAAAAACAGAGTTTTGGAGTGAGTAGTTATAGATGTGAAGTAGAACAGGTAGTAATATTGGGAGGCAGAGTTTAAGAAAATGGATAGGGATGCCATCAACTCCAATGGCATAGAACAAACAGAAGAACGAAGGAACAGAATGTTGATTGATCAGGCAAAAGTTTTCTGAGAGTCAATTACAGCCTCCAATCCATTTTTGAAAGAATTATTTTCGATATGAAAATACAACTGTTTATTAAACTGGTTGTTTTTCCCCTCTGCGAATAAAGAAATTGAACTTCCGCAAATGTCAAAACTTTCCTTATTTTTTTCATATGTGAATAGTGAAAACTGCAAGTGTTAAGTATACTGTATATCTGTATACTAATATCTGTTCTTAGCTTGTTGATGTGATTGTTGACCTGACTGTTGTAATTTTGAATCATTAAATCAATTCAGCACAGCGTATCGATAAAGGCTGGACAGGACCGCAGTCAACATATTAAAGTAAATCATACAACCATCTACATTCAAATGATCTAGGACAATAAAATCATAATATAAATAATACCATTATATTTCATGGTCTGATTGACCAAATAACTTCAATTCATTAATCTTTTTATGTAAGGTATTGGTTGATATAAATAATACCAACGACTACCACAACATTTCAAACGGTACAATTGTACATAATATGCACAAAGGGCGAGTGATGGCTGCTGCTTTTTTGCCCTTAATAAACCATTTATTACTACTACATTGTAAAATAAAGATCACAGTGGAACCAGCACCATAGTAGTGTAAAAAAGAAAAAAATGATCATAACAAATTTACCTCTTAACTTAAATGATCAAATTAGAGGTTAATATGTTAAAAATTGAAGGTAAATCAATCTTGATAGGTATATGACAAGTTAATACCTAAATTTTAATTTAATAAATTGCATGTTGTAATTAGTATGAACTTACCTCTGGGGTCAGAGGTTCTCCATTTTGCCGACACTCTTCTACAACCAAAGAAGGAAATAGACCTACGTCATCTCCTCTGCGTCCTTCCCACCATCCATCGTCAACATCATCGTGAACGACCTTCCTTAAAACTTGAATAATTTCGCCTTCACAAAAGCTCAATTCTTCTGGGCATGTTGCATCGTAATCATATATAGCTACACACCAACATTCGCCACCACTAGTGATATTAGATGTCAGCTCACTGCTGCTAGAAAGATCTGAAAATATTAGTTTTTCTTTTTTTTTACGACATCATTTAAAAAGTTTACATTTTATAAAATTAAATTATTACCTAGATTTGCTGGCTTTAGAACTTCTTTAATTGTGTCTTGTGCTGTTGACAGATCAGATGGTTCTTCATCTACTGTATAGTCAACTGATGAAAAAGATATTTGTGACGTTAGTTGATAAGAGCTTGTACCTTCTGCAAGAGTTGTCCCTGTTCCTGTCACATCACCTTCTTCTCTGTCAACATCTAAATAATTATGAGGCACGTAGCCTTCTTCACCCTTATAATTTCTCGCTCGAAGCCAACCATCACCGTCACCGTCTCCAACAACTTCTAATTGTTCATTTTCGACTATGGACAATTCATCTGGATTTTGTGCCTAGAAAATATAATTTATTTCCAATGCTTTAAAAAAAAAAAAGCTTGAAAACAGATTTTTTACTTACCGTATAACTGTATAATGCTGTACACTTGTATGTTGGTCCCGATGATATAGGGTAATCAGGTGCAGGGCTGTCTTCTCCAGTTTCGTGGTCATCAGCACCCCAATCGACCTGTATCGGGTCTTCCCAACCCGCAGTTAGTTGCTCAATCCTTTGTCTTTCTTGTTCAAGCATTGCTGAAACGAGTTTTGCATTTTAATCTCATTATACTCAAAAATTCTTGGTAAATATTTGTCTATTCAATATTTTAGCATTTATGTGATTTCTTTTTGGTTTTTGTTTATTTTTTAAATGATTTTACAGATATTTAAAAAAAAATTGATTTATTTCATTCAAAGTTATTACAGAATAATCCAGAATTTAAGAATAAATATTGAAACCAAATTAATGAATTTTAAATGTAAACATTTTAGGATAATTTATATAATTTGGCTCACCCCATTCTCCATCTACTTCAGCAGAATCAGGTCTTTCTTTTTCATCAATACTTATCTGTTTTTCTGCTCCTACATTGTCAGACGTAGCATCGTTATAATCGCTATCATACATGGAATCAGAGCCACCTGCCTCCTAAAAGTACAAAAAAGATTAAAAAAATGGTTTACAACCAAGTACAACGAAAAGAAAAAAAAAATTGACGCACGACTGTCCCTGAAGTATCGGTTCTCACTGACATTGAACTGCCGGATCTTGGTAAATCTTGTACACTTAGAGTTTCAGCGTCCAACATAAATTCTTCAACGTTTACTACAATATAATACGTAGTGAAGTAATTTTTATAATTAAACCTGAACTTGTTGAAACTTACCACCTCCAGCTTTTAGACATTCTATCCTAGCTTCAGCTTTTACTTTCGAAGTCTGTAAAGGTATACAGGATATTAACAGCTAAGCTAGAAATTCATAACTTTCATAAAGGTTTAGACATTTTTCATTGCATCATAGTTATGGCTCTGCATCAAAATTGGAAGCGTTTTTTAAAATAGGAAAATTTTGATTTGTTAAAAAGGAGATTAGGTGCTAGATACAAGTGATGCACAAAGGTAAAGAATAATTATTGCACTGCCAATAAGCCAAGAAGGCTAATAACAATAATAATAAATTGAAAAACATCAAAAATTTTATACCTCTGCTCTTCTCATTATCTGCCTAAGTTCATCCATTTTTGTGTCAATATCTGGACCGTTAGGATCGTTAGGATCAACCTGCAAAAAGTAAACTTATGCTAAGTTTTCAGTTGATTGATGTTAGAAAAAAAGGTGAGCTAAGAAACTATTATTGTTTTGTATGTAAAACAGATAAGAACTACAAAATTTTTCATGAGAAAAACACTATCTTTATTATTTTGGAACATTGCCATGAGGTTTGTGAAGTAATGAAACTGTAGCTTGGTCATCTTTGGCCTTTTTTATTCTCACTGGCTTTGCTTTATTAATTCACTCTTCAACATTATGTTAGTTTGCCAATCTTATTTTAAAGTTATCTTAGTTTTTGAAACCATTACATGCATATAAACTGGCACAATTGACAAAATTACATGCAGACGAACTACTGAAGTATACGAAATTGAAGAATAGACTGTGATGTTATATCATAGACCTCATAAAAATATTTCACAATAAATCTCTTATTGTTGAATCCAGATGTCATACAATTTTTTAAAAATAAAATTTTTCTATTATAATTAAAATTGTGCAGAATGTAGTATTACCATTTCATAGTTAAATCTGGATCTATTTTGCAATTTAAAAATAAATGTAAGGCCAATGATTTTATTGATTACTATAATAATTAACACTTATATAATTAAATGGTTTGTAATCTCACTTTTTGTCCTCCTTCTCTAAGAGCTTGCAGATTGACAAGTTTTGCCATAGCATCCTTTATGTTCGCATTTTCTCTAGATAACTTTGTTGCCCATCTTTTAGCTTCTTTACTAAGAGCACTTGCGGCCGAACTGTGTTCAGCACTCACCGTTGTGACATTGTCGTTATCACACGGTTCAAATTCATAATTGATGTGTTGTTTCAAAACAGGATAATACAAATACACGCATTGAAGATTGTAATCTCGACTAAGCTAAAATAATTTGTAAAATTGTGTTTTAATACAAAATGAAAAATTTCTAAACATAAAAAAAAGTTTAATTACCTGTGCGGATTGTTCTTTTATTCTATTAAAAGATATTTGTGTGGCTGTACATGTTAACAATTCTGTTCTTGAAATCAACATAAGATAATCAGCTACTTTTTCATAAACATTGCCCTCCATTGTCTAAAATATAATAAAAAAAAGTTAACCATAATAATTAACATATTCACACTCTAAATAAGAAAATGTAAAGTAGTTTTATTTGGTCATTACGGATCATTTTGATCTGCCTATCCTCGTTGGTTTGGCCTGTCGGTCATATTTTGGCATTTTGCTATCTTTAGGTTTGAGTCTGTGTGATATGGTTGTCATTATTAGCAAACAGATCACAGGTTGGTAAAATGCTGAATCTTGTCTGATAGACTAAATAAGCAAAAATAGGCAGACCAATGTAATAAAATATTTAAATAATATTCTTGAGTGTTGATTATATATTATTTATATACATAAATATTCTACATATATATTAAACAATTATAGTTTGAAAGTAAATATATTTGAATTGGTCCTTGATATTTTATATAAAAAAACCTTTCTTAATAAGTTAATATTACAGGCTGTTTGGAATGCAATATTTAATACATGTTATGTTAATGTTCATTTTATTAATATGTGTGTGATTTCTGTTTTACCTGAATTATGTTTTGAAAGTCTACTACAAAATATCGAGTTTGGTGAGCATTTGCAGCTGCCAAACTTAACAAATAGTCATTACGAGCACCAGATGATTTTTCCTCTAATGCCTCTCGCCTTGAAGAAACCTGAAATTTAAATAGAAATTTATTATGCACAATACCGGTAATTTTGGGAAAGAAATTGATTGACGATAAAATGATATACTAAGAATAAAAGTGCCAAGTGGAAATAATAGTCTAAACAGTTTATCTGTACACAATTGTGCCTACCTTTGCACTATTTTTCTGAAGGGAAGTGATTGATTGAAAAAATGAACCTTTCTTTTTCTTTAGCCTAAAATAAAGCACACTTTATTAAGATCAAGCTCTACAGATATTAAATCCTTGTGTCGCCATATATTTTAATAAATTATCGTAGTATAATTACTTACTTTTCTTCAATGTCCCTTGCTTTATCTCTAACATCATGGGCACTGTGCTCTTCATCAAAATATAATTTTTTAGTTTTATCTATCTCTAGGACTGTACTCTGAACCTCTTTTTGAATAATTGCTAATTGGTCTAAACACTTCAAAACGAAAACAGACAAAAAATCAATACAAATACTAAAATGGAGAAGTAGTAGTAGTGCGCGTACCCGTTTGGCAGTGATGAGCTTATTGGCTCTAAGAATTTTGGCATCATCAGCAACATTTTGAGAAAATACTTCTACAGCAGCTAATCTCGCCCTAGCCATTTTTTCATTCTCCTCTAGTACAGTCCTCCACACATTCCACATGTTCCTAAACAATTTTTTAACTTATTGTGCTGACGTTTATTTGTAACAGATTTCCAATATAATTTCAAAATATTACCATTTTTCTTCAGATCCCTCAGTCTTAATGTCTGGTATATTGGCTATTTTACGATTTAGAAATGCTGATGATATTTTCAGTAATGCCTACAAGATGTAGAAAATATAATTCATTTTTTTAATAATTTAAAATGATCATATTACATATAAATGCTGTTGTTAATCGACATTAATAAAAATTTCAATTGGAAATATTTTTTGTCTTTTATGAAATAGTAGCTAACATACAATTTCTTGTCAAAGATGACCATAAATAAATAAATAAAATAAATAAATATAATTTCTATTATTTTTTATTCTGTAAAACAGTGTAAAAAAGTTATATTTCCAATGCTTAAAAAAATTGATTTATTTAGGTTTATTTATTTATTTACGAATCAAAATCCACTATAAAAAAAGACATTTTACAATAACAAAAAATATAAATAATATATGTAAAATTACAAATAATATATATAAAAAGAATAAGGACGTATATGCATGGTAATAATACGTATATAAATGGTAAATATAAATGATAAATATAAAAATACAATTAAAGAGTAAAAACTGAACAACAAAAATGAAAGACATAATTATTAACCAAATAAGGCAGAGGAAACAAAATAAAACTGAAAGACAATTGAAACTACAATAATTAGGTACATATTTAGTACAAGTTTAGTTTAGTTTGTGCAATACATTGGATTAGAAAGCTATTTATTATGTTTTATAATAATTGACCATACTAAACCAATTTGTCTACACACATATTTGTTGTTTTCAATGATCCTGATTTCAAGCATTAAACTCTCATCATCAGGTAGAAGGAATTACAAACACTCTCTCGACATGAATTGTAATAGTGAAATCAATGTTCCAATGAGAAACTGGTTTTTGATGCTGCTCAATTTTGAACATGAGAAATGAATTACAACACAACTAAATATATCTGAATAAATACTGTAAGAAAATAATTTTAAATTAGTAATTAATTTGTATGTCAAATATTATTTAAGTATGTGTTTAAAATAGGAGGTAAATCAAAATCTATTATATTTTTTATGCATTGATCTCCATGTTTAATTTTACATTTTTTTATTTTAAAATTTTCAAACTAATCTAGTTCTTTCTCTTTGTTGAAACTGTGGTTTTTAAATTTAAATTGTGTTTTGTTTCATTTAGATGGTCTTTAAATTTAGAAAATTTGTTCAATTTGGGCAAGTGTTCTTTAACTCTTGTTTTAATATCTCTGCCGCTTTGTCCTATATATTTAATATCTATCGGAGACCAGTGATGCCTTTTTATAATTCTCCATGCCACAAACTCATAATAAAAAATAGATAAAATAAAACCCACACTAATTTCAAACCACCATTCGGTATTAAAAATTCTTTAGAATTGATTAAACAGTTAAAGAGCATAAATATACCTAACAACTGTGTTTTAGAATCATTTGATACTAATTTATTTACAAATATTCCCATTAAAGAATTTACTGAACTAATAAATAAAAACTTATGGAAAACTCTATTAACAAATTTGTAAAAAGTGACAATAGAACTCTTAAATACAGGCCTACAATCTATTTTAAATGTAATTGCTGGATTTAAGAAGAGTTCTCGAACACGGTAGCGATTTTCAGAGTCCCCTGTTCCGCTTTTTAGGGGAATTGGGAATTTTTTATTGTATATAGCCTTCAAAATATGTTTTGTGTTTCTGTGTCTTGTATGAGTGAATGTATTTATTGGTGTGATTGTGAAGCGGTATTATGTTAGTGCTTCGGGGCTGAAATGACCAAGCTGTTGGATGCCCCTGTCAAGAAAAAAAAAATGAAATGAAAAGGTTACCAATGGAGGTCTCAATTATCCCCATTTTGTGCCAAAATATTCTTGGATAACTTAAAAAAAAATTTTTTTCAAATCAAATAAATTAATTAAATCTGTCCTTTTTTTTTTTGAAATGCAACGTAAATGATATTTTATGTATATGGTCGGGAACACTAGAGGATCTAAAAGAAATCCTCCAATTAATCAATTAATTAATTCTTCACACCCTAGTATAAATTGTACATTTTAAATGAATAAAGATGGTTGTTTAAACTTTTTAGACTTACAACTGTCCATAGTAAATAACCTAATTGAACTAGATGTATATAGAAAACCCACATCTCCAGACACCAAATAATAGATAATAGACACCAGATAATATTTTGTTGTGTTATAATTCACGTTTTTCCCATGTTCAAAATTGAGCAGCATCAAAAACCGGCCGTGGATTTGTGATTTCACAATTACAATTCATGTCGAGAGTGTGTTTGTAACTCCTTCAACCTGATGATGAGTGTTTAATGCTCGAAACCAGGATCATTGTAAACAACAAATTTGTGATTTACAAATAGTGAATCTACATATTTATCCACCTTCATCATTTCTATACTAAACCATTCTAAAAACAAGTAAGCTTTAAAAAAAAAAAAATCATTATTTGACATGAAAACGGCGGTAATTCATACAATTGAATTTATAAATAATTTTCCGAATTGATATTTCCATTCAACAATTTCAAATTTTCATTTGTAAAAGCATAACTTTATGAGTCGATCAAAAACTTCAAATAAACATTTGTTCAATCAATCTACATTGGTCAATGTTCATTACATACCTCAGCATATGATTTTTCTATGGCGGATCGCTTTAATATAAAGTTCCTAAAAAGTAAGAAGATGTCATTATCAATTGAATTGTGATTTAGTTGGCAACCTTTCTAATTCAATATTTAATTTTTAATTAGAATGAAAACAGATTTTTATGTTGGTGAAGATTATAACTATAATTTTACCTTATATCATCTAGAAGTTCGCATTCATTCTGGTTTTTTAGCTGAAGTTTAGCCACTTGTTCTGCATGAAGATTTTTTAGAAACTTGGCATAATTTCCCTAGAAATTACGTCCTTTATATAAAATTAGCTTTATGTAACAAATACTCTTGAATGTCTGGCTTTTAAAAATAAAAAACCTTTCTGTATCTTTTACAGTGAAATTGTTTAACAATTGGGTAGAAGTTTATAAAATCAATATTTTCTCAAATTTTTATAACTTGTAACCTCTTGTGTGTTTGGAAAGACAAAGCAAAATAAAAATTAATATCTAACAACTTGTGATTCTCTCTAGATTGCGAATAGGTCACATCAGGCTAATCCATAATAGGCTTTTAATAGGCAACAACCTTCCAACTTGTTCTCGATGTATGCGAAGTGGAGAACGTATCATTCTGACAGTAAAACATATTTTGGTCGATTGTCCCACTTTGCAACCCTTTAGGCGAGTGATTTACAGGAGTTACTGGGTCCCCAGTGTTTCTTTCGAACAGCACTTTTCAGCTTTCTCAAATTTATTGGAATTTATAATGAGATTTAGGCCTTTTCCCAAACTGTTATACCACTGAATGTTTGCCTGCTAATGTTTGAATGAGAGTTGTGCGTGCAAGATTTCTTTTTTTCAGAAATTTTTGAGGCTGCCGGAGCGGAAAAATGAAATGAAAGAAAATACAAATTGTGGGGTAATAAACCGCAATGCCCAAAATTGCAATTTAAATAAGAATTTTAAAAAAAAGTGTTTTGCTTCTTATTATTGTTATGTAGAATTAGTTTATTTATAATATTTGAATGGAAGAATAAAAGGATAAGGATGAGCCTATACTCATGCTGAGACTGTTGCTAGTTTGACTCCATTATTTTTATTATTATTAGCCATACAAGCCTACGGGAAATGTTTAAATTATGGAACAAAAATTCAGAACTCTAATTAAAAAAAAAAAAAAAAAAAACAGAAATAAATTTTTATACGTAATTTAAAATGGATTTTTTGCATACATTTGGCCTTCCAAATTAAGAATTAACATCCCTCCACCCATTTGTTTTCCAACTCTTTGTATACAAGAAGAACAAAATAGTATTTATTGCTTGTTGTCAAGAATGAGGTAGTTTAGAAAAACACGTTTTTCATTTTTTTTGCCGACATTTCGACCTTTATTCGGGTCATCTTCAGGGCATAACGTGTGGTGCTGTTCCTATGGGGTCAACACCAGTGTTTACAGTTTTGACAGAAAAGTAATTCACGACAGAATAATGTTTAATGTTAAGAACGTTTACCGAAAAGATTATTTTTATACAAGTTTTTTAAATTGATTTATTATTTTGGTAGCAGATAATTTATATCTTAAATCTTCATTTATTGAACTTAGCTTCTGATTTTTTATAACGGTTAGTCAAAAGAATAATGTTTAATGTTTTTCTTCCATATAGTAAAAAAAAAACTACATTATGGGCTTAATTTGTCAAGAACTAGTGTTAATAATTTGACAAATTTATTTATTGTAAAAGTGAAAATCAACAATTTTGATTGTTATACTGTTTTAATTAAAAACTTGAAAATACTATTCGATTGAATTTTTTTTGTATTTAAAAATTCATGATATTTTGAGTGTAATAGTTCTTAGTTTGAGTGAATTATAATTAATTAATGTATGCTCTGGAATGCTGTGTATGAATAAATTAATTGAATCACTGTGCTTCTGTGCTGGGCCTCTTGCGGTTAAGAAGTTTATTCATTACGCCTAGACTATTCCAATTTATTTAATTTTAGTTATGACATTATTTGATATAAATTATTGCCGATTAAATTATATGATAGATGAAATATTGGACTGGTCGTCTACCGCATCGCAGAAATTGAAAATTATTTTGTCACGGGATGAAAGACAAAATTTAATTAAATCGTTCGTCATAAATATTGAGATCGATTTAATTGACAAGACGAAAGGGCAATGGTCTTGTACGAAAATTGGGTCCGCTAGTCCCTTTGACCTACTTGCGAAACTTGTCATTTTAATGGGCCGCCCGGGATTCGAGGGTGTCCCTCGAATAATAAAAGCATAAATGCAGGGTTTAATGTTTTAATATTTCAATGAAAACGAATGCTTGAAACGAATTGCTCCTTTTTCGAATATCCATCCGACTAATTCGCTTTTCTTCCAATATTCGTTTACAATGTTTGTCCTATTATTTCGTCTTTACGCCGACTAGCATTCTTGAATTTGTTTGAAGAGGAATTTAATATAATTTATTTATTGCGTGACGGCTGTGAAAATTGAGTTCACGTCACGTGGCGTCTTTAATCTTAACGACCAAGAAAGTCGGAGACGGCCCATGCTTATGAAAATCCATAAAAATTAGCTGAAAATATAACCAATCAAAATGACCGATCCTTAATTATTATAGTTTCTAAATAAAAAAAGTTTCTCACAGAAAGAGAATTTTATGATTTATTGTTGTCAATGGAAATAATTGGGTTAATCTCTATTAATAATATACGCCTAATTGAGAAATTTAATTTCTAATTATTACGGTGTAACTTTTTTTTATCCGATTCTGTTGTGAAATATTCATTTTAAACAGTAAACGTTTTGGATTAATTTTTCATGTAACAACAATATAAGTTTAAACATATAATTATTCGGAAATCGTGAGATGCGGTGTGGTGTGATGTAGGTTTCAGAAAAACGTTTTCTTTATCGTGCCAACGTTTCGGTCTTTATTGAGATCATCTTCAGGGCCTGGGATTTACAAACATTGTTTAAATTTAACAAATACATGTAGGATGTGGAAAAAAGTGAATTTATACAATGCAAAAAAATATTATTTTATATTCGATCAAAGTATTTTTTGCATTGTATAAATACACTTTTTCCACATCCTACATGTATTTGTTAAATTTAAACAATGTTTGTAAATCCCAGGCCCTGAAGATGATCTCAATAAAGATAGAAACGTTGGCACGATAAAGAAAATGTTTTTCTGAAAAATCACACCAGACCATCTCACGATTTCCGAATAATCATCGACTAACGGTCTATGACAACTAATCACCACACATTTAAACATATAATTAATTATATTGTGCATAGAAGCTCCATCAAAACCCAATAATTACATATATAAACAAATACCATCGGAACTGTTAAATGATTTCTTAGGGATTCAGGTCTTCCGGACAAAACTGAATAGTGAAAAACAATTTCATAGATAATCGATGTTCGTTGCCAATGTAAACGTTAAATGAATCTAGCTAATAAAAACATTTAGTATCGTAGATATTCAGCTTTAATTAAAAACCAATAATTATTTCGCGAATATCATATCTATCACTGTTTACATTTATTATTTTACTTTATTTGTAAAGATATTAAGTAATATTAGTTTATGACTATACGTGTATGTTTTATACGATGTGTTTGTCTGGTACGTTTTTATTTAGTATTTTCTAATGTTCAGCTATGATCGTGTATTCTGCATGGTATTAGATTTAACAAAATATCACGCATGCAGATCAATCTGTGCTAATTGAGCATGTCCAGAGGAAACAGTGGACATGAGCATACAACTATTGACACACATAGGCTAGGATATATGTATAATCTGCGATATCAGTCGCTTTTTTTGCAGACATTTTATTACAAATGTTACAGTAAATGATTTTTGACATTTACGAGCAGATATCGTAACTAATAAAGTTATACGATGACAATTCACGATTCGGCTGGATAAACGTTTTGGATTAATTTTTCATCTAACAACAATATAACTTTAAACATATAATTATATTGTGCATAGAAGATACTATTAAGTTATTTAAACTTCGGGTTAACTTAAAAAACTTAAAAAATTTTTTTTCCCTTCTGCCTAACTGAATATATAATTTAATAATTGTAACAATAATTTTTCGCTAAATATTTAGTTGGACGGATTTTTTAGATGAATGTTATGGCGTTACACTTGTCGAAATTCCTCAATTAATCAGTAATCGAAATTTAATTAGTGCTCGTATTTATTTAAATTTTACCCAGGTGTAAAATGTTGTAGTGATTATTTTTGCTATCTATTAAAGAATTAAAACCTTTATTCGTTTTTAATTTTATCTTCGGGAAGAAAAGTGTCTTTTAACAATACTTTCTTTGTAACTTTAGTCTTCTTAAGGAAATAATTATGAAGTCACTCTTTCTCTTCCAATACTGGAATTTTATATTGGAACGAGGTTTTAAAATCACGAAATTCTACTATTATTATAAAAAATATGAAAAATACCTCAATTTATAATATTTATTAATCTGAAGTAATATTTATTGATTCATTTATCGTACGTTGAACTTGATTTTTGTATTTTTATCTTGTATCATCTCATTTATGTTATTTCCCCTTCATCTCTCGAGCGAATAGTTCTCAGGTTATCAGCTGTACAATTCAAAAAAGATTCACATAATAAAGTTTGAAACCGTGTCAAGTAAATACATGTTATTGCAATAAATGATAAATTTTTTGAACTTGATTTTCAACAGTACGATTTTAATCCTCTGTATAGGTTTTTATTTTTAAAACACATTTTCTTAAACAATGGAAGAGGGAACGACGTAAAAGTACAAAATAATAGTTGTGTATTATTGGCAAAACCAATTCTGGCTCAATCAATCAAACCAATATTAATTGTAAAAGACAAGCTGAATGGCGAAAGGGGGGAAAAACTGACATTTTTTCTCGCAACTTAATACAATATTCCAAAATACATTTTGTAAAGTATAAACTGAAACTTAAATTTTCCTTGTATCTATAAAGTTATATGTCTTTCAGCAATGGCAGTAACATGCCAACAGGTAAATACCTGAATAAGCAGAAGATATGGTCAAATTGTCAAATGGACTAGCATTGAATTTACGCAAAATTTAGCTTTTCAATGACCTGGATAAATTATTCAAAGGCTAATAAACAGTCTAATAAACATCCCATAGGTGAAATAAAATATTTCCTTTGAACAATCTCTCAGCAATAAAATAATTTAAATACTTTTTTTGTGGTCTGCGATTTACAAATACAAAATTTAACGAATTCCCTTTTTTATTTTAATTATCAAATAAATTGTTTTAAAGTTGTTACATACTTATAAACTTTTAAATGTTTACATTATAAACCTTGTTGTTTAATTTTTCGATGGATAGACTATCTCTTTTTATAACTTCAAAATTTTAAAATAAATACGAATTTTCAAGATTTTTTGTTATTATTAAAGGAATTATGAGCCTTTAGGATAATGTTAAATTTTAAAATGGAATTGTATTAAAATATCACTTTGATTGTTGTTTTTTTTGTTTAAAAAAATAAATTTCTTCATTTTTCAACTCAAATGACACTATGATTATTATATCCAAATTATGATATGATTTTATATAAATAATGCTAGAAAATTATTATTAAGATGATGTATGGTTTTGGTTTACTCAAAAAACATAGTTCGTACTTTTGTGCACGTTTTAATTAGCAAACTGAAAATGTTTTCCTGTGCTTTTAGGATGTGGCATGGGTTGGGTTGAACTTGAAATTTTTCCAAGCCAATTGAAAAGGAAAACCATGTTTATATAGTAATTTATGTAGAAAAATCTTCTCTTTTCGATTGATATAAAACAATTACTTATATTAAGAAGAAAACTTCACGGGAGAATTTTCCGATTTAAGGATTTTGAAACTGAAGCCGATACAGCAAAGATTGACGCAGATATGTTTGAATAAATTATTTAATTTATGATATAAATTAAGCATTGTTGAAAGACACTCAGAGGGTACAGTAACTCATATACAAGTTATTGTAAATCCCTTAAGAAAATCGTTTTGCAAAGATCACAGTTGATCTAAGGGTTGGTGGCGTATTTCGCACAGCAAAGCGCAGGCTTTTATTTACAAGAAATGCTCAAACGTCGGCTACGTATTTTTATTTATCCAGTTTTCCATTTTCTTTTACCTTTCTTGGAGGAGGCTGCATTTTGCCCAATACACAACACACAATTCACTCCCCTATTCACCAACCACCAACTGTTTAACCCACTACCATATTGATTTCAAGGTCCATTACAAGTCCAGGTCATCCCCTCTTCAACATTTCCCCTTCTTATCGACCGCATCCCTTAGCCATTGGTGGAGTGCACACCCGCCGGATACAAATCGGATGAAACCCCGATATTAAAAACAACGTTTAAATTAAATATATGCGAGTGAAAAGAATAATATGAAACCTTTTACACTTGGTATCAAAGCTAAAGTATGTGAAACCGAAGGTGGATGTGTATTTGAATGAGGACTGCGTCGACTCCATAAGATGTAGAGGTGTTGCCGGCAGTTTCACACATACCGGTAAATATATCATCCTAATGACAATTAATAAAAGCACCGACTTAAGAATTCAACAGAAAATACTCATAAGTCTATCATTGGAGAAACAGAAAGAAACTCGCTATTAAACAAGCAAGAACTGAATTGTTGAACTAAATAATTAACATTACATGTTTTACTTTAAATGACGTGTAAAAATAACTTCCTCGATTACAGGGACAACAATTGGTCGAGAAAAAAAAGAAGAAAAAAATATATATATTGTTGATGACAGGAAATTGAAAATTATTGGACAAATAAAGTCAATTTTAACTATCAACCGTGGTTACTAGTTTCCACTGTGGCCGTCCACCTCATTGAGCTAATCAAAATAAAAGGTTTGTTCTGGAATCAAAAAACATATCGCTGAGTAACACGAAGCAAATTAAAAAAAGATAGAAATCAGTAGATTTTGGAAGGAGCAACCCCTCAAATTTTTCATTTCCAGCGATGATTCGAGCGATGAAGCTGCCATGTTACTGAATGAAGTCCAGTTGTTCTTCCCCTTTATGAGATGTTTTCAAAACAACCAAGCCACTTCATAGATCTTACAGGGGTTTCTTTGCAATTGGAAGTTTTTGGACAAACAACGTCAATTTCAACAATCAACTATCAACGCTATAGAAGAGAAAGAGTACAAAGAGGATTTTGCGTTCATTCATACCTGGAAAGACTTTTGGACTCTATGTTTCAGACAATTTTTAGCCTTTTGTCGTTAATCTAAAGAAAGCTATTTGAAACTGACCTGTCATACAAAAACAAAGCATTGATCAAGAAAAGCTTCCTTTTCGGCGTATGAGGTGATGGTGAGGATTCAGGCAGAGTTTCCCTCCGTTGAGCTATTTCAACAGATTGAAACTTTCCAACTTCAGGCCGTGACTTTTAGGTTACTTCGAGTATCCAGGAAGCATAAAAAAAACTCATTGCTTGAAAAAAAAGAAGGAATGATGACGAATTTTCGAATAAGTTTGTTTTGAACGTCAAAGAACAAAAAAGCAGAGACTTTTGTTTGAATATCCTGAGATGGTTTTGTTGCTGTTATGAGAAACCTACATTAATCGTTTCAAGAGTAAATTGTTTTTTCCTTGGGTCACTGGTGACAATAGTCTCCTTTTCTTCCACTGCGGCCTAAAAGATCTATTGTACAATTGATCTCACTTTGTATCCAGAAAGTCTGTCGGCGATCTCAAGCCTCTTTCAGTTTTCCCATTTTTAAGGTAGAAATTGAACGGACAATGAACTATTATTTTCCTTAATTATTGCTTTTTGTGAGGTTTTCCTTGTTGAGATGTTGCAACACTTCCTTTATTGCTTTGCACCTTGAATTTGATCTAGTGTTTGGACATTGCATTGTTTCATTCCAGCGTAGCATCCTTTTGTGGGTACTGATTTGCGGTTCTGGTCCAAAGGGCGTGTGGGCTCCGCTTGGTTTCGCCAGTTTGTCAGCCTGATCATTGCCTTAATCCCCACGTGTCCTGGCACCGCAGCAGTCGTGGCAATGCAGTAGCGTCAGAACTAAACATATAGTTCTGGTTTAAGAAAATTTTTTGGCAACCACACCTGTGGATCCTGGCAGAACCCATGGTTTTTTTAATGCATTATAGTATGAAAAATATATTTGCGCTACAAAACGGGTAGTTAAGTCTTCCTGTATAACAGGAATTACTGGGACGTAAACACGGCGGACATCACTGTAAGGTAAAGGTCCCGAGTTCAAATCCAGCGAACCTGCATTCGAACCCGACATACTTACAAATTACAAAGGTTTTTTTTTCGAAAACACCGGCACCCTGAGGATATATGAAAAACAGGAATTACTACTACACATTTGGTAAACAACATTTTAAATTTTCGAATTAAAAAAAATCAATGCAATCAAAGTGCAAGGCGAATTCGAGATCCTATTAATTTATAAAATAAAGTAAATTCTTATAAATTTTTTATATGTGATTATGCGCCTTGAAGTAAGTATTTAGAAATTTTATGTAATTGTACAATTCTACTGTTTAAATCCATTAGAAAACATTTTAACAAAATCTTCCCTCTAATGATTGCAATTGAGATAAAATAGCACAATTTTTCTTATTAGAAAATATTATTTGAACTACGATGCGCACACGCACTGCTGGTATCCACTTTAACTTAAATTCTTGATAGAAATTGCTTAAAAAAACTAATGGAATCATTTTCTACAAAGGTTTTAGTTAGGAAAAACATATCAAAAATTCAATATAGTTAATAAACTACATATCACTTTTTTCTTGACCAACCTTCTATGTTATAAGACAATTTTTTTAAGGTATTACTTTCATAATTGGAATCACTTTTTCGATAGTTAAATTATGTGTACATATTAAATTCACTAGTTTCGTGGTCCGCTTGACCAAGTAATATCTTACAATTAATTAAGGTTTTAAGTTGAGATAAAAAAGTCAGTGTTACGAGCGGGATTCGAACCCACGCCCTTCGGCTTGATACACCGCTACTCTACCACTTGAGTTATCGTGACCTCGATCCACTCAGACACCGACTTCCCATCTCAACCCCACCTTTTGAATTTTCCCTCCTTTTTGCAATTTTTCAAATGTCGTGTATTCGATTTGATTCTCGGCGACAAATGAAATGGCCATGTGTACGTAGTTATACATATGAGCTGTTGATTGCTGTTGCTTGGAATCCGATTCAGCCCTCTTCTTACTTGTATCACTTCCAGTTGAGTGTAACTTTCTTAGTATGACGAAGTTTAACTTTTAAGCGTGTATACTTTTCGTCATCTGAGTTTCCCCATAAGCTTTCTTTCTTCTTTCTTCTTAGCTTCTTTCTCCTTGACCGATTCCTCAACTTCATAAGGCGCCGAAGTAGTATCGGACATCAATTCACCCAGTTCATCATGATTTGCCTCTTCTGTTGCCAGTGTAAACTAGAATGCTGTAAGTTCTTTGCCTTATGTACATAGGGCAACAATGGTTTACCGACTTGCCAAATTTCAAAAAGGTAGCCTTAGATAGCACCTTTTATTGATTGAATAGATATTTTGATAATTTCAGTACTTGGAACTTTTTGATGTATAAATTTAACTAATATTGGTCTTTGCCTGATTTAACTATGAAAGCATTACTTAATGTTTTAATTTTATAAATTGTATTTTTAAACTATTATTTATAATGGATAATTGTAAATGTAAATAGTACATAATTGTATATTTAAAAACTTTTTTGGGGGTATTTCATCTACGAGATATATGAACCCTCAGGGTGCCGGTGTTTTTGAAAAAAAAAAAAACCCATTTGTAAGTGTTATGGATTCGAACCAGGGACGCTGGCTCGAAAGGTAGAAATAAATAAATATTATATAGAAGAAAATTTTCCAGTCTTGAACTGGAAGGAATCCTGTAGATGTGGGAATTAACAAAAAAAAGGATAATTCACACTTTCAAATAACTATTTATTTTTAGTATTAATAATTAAGTAAAATTTATACATTTTTCTTGTTAAATAAATTGCTCTTTTTTACACAGTCTTGGTGAAATATGGAGATAATATTGCCTCCTTTTAAGACATTCACCTGGAAAATTAAAAAATAAATTTGAATAAAAGAAAAAATCAACAAAATTGTTAACACACGTCGTATAAACCGGACAATTTTCTATTTTTTTCTTTTAAAGCAAGATTATATGTTGTTCCCTCGTTTTTAATCCCCTGCTCGACTGGCTAAATCAAGATTCTGTTTTTAATCGTAACGTGTAGATTATTTTTTGGGCTTACTTCTACTTACATACCTGTCTCACTTCACAAGGAGGTCCAACAGGAAGGTGATCAACCTGCAAAAATAATTTTATTTAATAAACAGTTAATTTAAATCGAAAATCGCGCTTACCCCGTTTTCGCTCCAAGAACTTTCCTCCCACGCAAAGCAAGCAAGAGCCAGAGTGGATAAAATTAAAAGGCATAAAACGATCTTCCTAAAAAAATTGTATTTTGCTTGAGTTGATTTAAAATATATAATAAATATTGATTAATATTAACAGTCTGTCGGTTTAACCACACTTATAAGTAGTACACAAAGCAAAGTAATAAGCACACAAATTATAACTACAAAGTAATGATTTAAAAAAATTATATGTAAGGGCGTTAATCAGTATAAGGGCTATTTTTGCCTTAAAAATCTGCCATGATGTCACTCTTATGGCTAGATTTCTAATTTAAATTTTTGAAAATAGATTAGTTATCTTTAGAAATCTTTTCAGCCAANAATTATAATATATATATATTAAAAATAAAAATACATAGATACATTCCATCTAACTTGAATTAAAAATTTACAATAAAATAATGTTTTTCTTTTCTACATAGTTTAGGCATCAGTTTTAAATTAGTACAGCATTACATAAACATAATTAATAAAATACACGTATACATTCCTAATAGAAGAGGACTGAAGAAAAATAATACTTTTCAAAAATATTAATTCTACACTAACAGCATTTAAAACAAAATTGATTTTTAAATTTTTTAAATATTTTTATATTAGATTATTTTAAATTTTTTAAAAATATTTGATGGTAATTACGAAAACAGTTTGGCACCTTTAACAATGATAGAATTACTGAACGTTTTAATTTTACAAATCGCTTAACTTATAGGTCATAATTCTTGACCATTGTAAATCTAAACAATACACTGAGAGGCAAAAAGGCCTTTTTTACATGATCTAGAAAAAAATACTGTAAACGGTATTTGTATCCTTATATGCCACTAATTGGGGACGATTTTAATTTTATGCATAACAATGCAAGGCTCCCCACAGCTAGGATCGTTGGTGACTACTTGGAACGGGCTTCAATTTAAAGTTTGGCCCAGTCATATTATAGTCCCGACTTATAGCATATAAACCCTATCGACCTTCAGGACGAGTTGTCAAACAGGATAAAAAGTCGCCCAGTGAAGCCAGAGAATTTGTAAGAATTGAGAATACCACTGTTGGGGAAGTATGAAAATATTCGGTCAGTACTACATTCAAAACCTCATAAAAGCAAAGTCCCATCCAATTCAATCGGTGATAAAGCAAGACGGGGAAATACTCTGTACTAAATTGATTATTTCGTACATACCGTCAGAAAAGGAAGTAAAAATTTCTTCTCTACGCTAACTCGAATCAGGTCAAATCACTTAATATGCGGCTCCTACTTAAATAAGATTAACCTCAGAACATCCCCTAACTGCGCAACGTGTCATGAGCCGAAAATATCAAACATATTGTCCTGATCTGTTTGGAATATGAGAAGGAAAGAAAGATATTTTTTGATCGGTTAATGCTCCTGAAGGAGGTTAACAAGCCATTCAATTTGGAGAGCCTGATAACTTCAGAAGATGAAGAGACGTATAACCTACTTTATCGGTATCTGCAGGATTGCAATAAGGAGTGCTGAGAGAGTGTTGGGGGGAGGCTGGGCTGTCGTTGGAGGGTGTCACGGCGTCTTGGGCGGTTTTGCCCCGGGCAGTGGGGGCTTTTCCAGGAGCATCTGCTGCTTTGTAAGGTTTTTATTCACATCTTCCTGATACGCCTGACAAGGGAGAAGATTTCCCACAAATAAAGACAAAAAGGACGCAGCGACGCTAGAGAGAGTCCCCTGGACGTCGGCTCCGGCTGGCTTGTCTGGCCTGGCTGGGGGGCCTGGGCGGCCGATTTCTATCAGAACATTTTAAAAATATATGTAGTATGACTAAAAAAATGTACCTTTCGCTCCGTATACAACTCCAGCCTTCTACACAAGGGAAATCCTTTCAAAGACAGAAATAAATAAATCAAAATTGTATAAAATAAAGTTCTCCAGTATCATACTGGAACGAATCCTGTGGATGAGCCTCGTTTTCACAGACAGGTCTAACGATAAGATCGGCGAGGGTGCGCCGAGTATTGCCAGGGTGCATGTTTACACGGCGAAATTGTATGCGATTTGGCATGCGCTTGGGGTATTCGAGACGATGCCTAACTAATCTACACCGACTCCCTCTGCACGGTTACTGCTGTCCGTGGCAGGTTATCCGTCGACCATCACGTGGTGCTTTTGCTGGAGAAATACCACGAGCTGGAGTAGTTGTCTGCCGTTGTCTGACGTTCCACCGGACTTAACCACCGCGATCGACGATAAAAGTTCAATAAAACACTTTGAATGAAAAGAAGGTGGCAGCATCAGTGGGCGAGATGGGAACATCTGATTCGTATAAGGGGTCATACTCAACCGATTAAGGATAGGCCATGTGAGGTCGACGTAAATCGACACGGACTTTCACTTTTGGGCCAAGGCCCGCGTATGTATTTGGTTGTTCGATTTGAGCACCTACAGTTGAGGAGCGCAATTCTTGGCTCCATAGAATACCCGATATGAGAATTATCTGGGTCCTCTGTTCCGATTTCGGAAGGAAACAGGATTGCTTGATGGTACAATAGAAATAGAAAGACAAGGTAGACAACTTGGCAAAAAACGCGGTATGAAAACGAGAGTTAAAGAACACTTGCGTAAATCGAACAAATTTTCAGAATTTAAGGACCACCTAAAAGAAACAAAACACAATTTCAATTTTAATTTAAACAGTGTTACAAAGGGAGGGAATTAGATTGGTTTGAGAAATTTGAAATTAAAAAATGTAAAATTGAACATGGAGATAAATGCGTCATAATTCCCGCTTTTCGCACATTGATAATTGAGCGGCATTAAAAACCAGCTTCTCATTGGAAGTCGCGATGGCTGTGGGATCGGGGGTTCAGTCTTGCAATTCATGTCGAGAGACGTTGTTGTAGAACTCCTTCGACCGGATGATGAGCTATTAGGACGAAATGCGGATCGTTGAAAACAACTTACTGTGAGTAGGAACTATCTTTTTAAAAAGATTGATTAAAAGAAGGTGGCAGAGTCGGTGGGAACATCTGACTCGAGGAAGAGGGGTCATTCTCAACCGATTAAGGATAGGCCGTGTCAGGTTGACACAAAAAAAAAACAAAAACGGATAATTCACACTTTCAAATAACTATTTATTTTTATTATTAATAATTATGTAAAATTTATCCTTTTTTCTTGTCAAATAAATTGCTCTCTCTCATACAGTCTTGGTGAAATATAGATACAATATTGCCTGTGTCACAATAACCTCTGCGGCATTTTCCTTTTAAGACATTCACCTGGAAAATTAAAAAATAAATTTTAATATAAGAAAAACAATTAAGGAAATGTTTATAGGAGGATCAACAAAATTGTTAACACACGTCGTATAAACAATTTTCTTATTTTTTTTTAAAGCTAGATTATATGTTGTTCCATCGTTTTTTAATCCCCTACTCGACTATCAAGATTCTCTTTTTAATCGTAACGTGTAGATTATTTTTTGGGCTTACTTCTACTTACATACCTGTCTCACTTCACAAGGAGGTCCAACAGGAAGGTGATCAACCTGCAAAAATAATTTTATTTAATAAACAGTTAATTTAAATCGAAAATCGCGCTTACCCCGTTTTCGCTCCAAGAACTTTCCTCCCACGCAAAGCAAGCAAGAGCCAGAGTGGATAAAATTAAAAGGCATAAAACGATCTTCCTAAAAAAATTGTATTTTGCTTGAGTTGATTTAAAATATATAATAAATATTGATTAATATTAACAGTCTGTCGGTTTAACCACACTTATAAGTAGTACACAAAGCAAAGTAATAAGCACACAAATTATAACTACAAAGTAATGATTTAAAAAAATTATATGTAAGGGCGTTAATCAGTATAAGGGCTATTTTTGCCTTAAAAATCTGCCATGATGTCACTCTTATGGCTAGATTTCTAATTTAAATTTTTGAAAATAGATTAGTTATCTTTAGAAATCTTTTCAGCCAATTGTTATGATGATATCTCCTAGAATTTCTGAGAGGCAGTACGGAATATTACAACTTTTCCTATCGTCCTCATATGCTCTATAGGCTGTGAGAATATGTTTAACAGTAACAACACTACACGGGCAGGGGGGGATCTTCCTTGGTCATGAGATGGCCATTGTGTGTCTCGTGTGTCCTATTCTTAAACGAGTATGAACAAACTCTTTATGTCTTGAAGATCAAAAAGTAGATCCCCAAGATTTGACTTGGGGTTTAACATCTCTCAATTTAGCATTTCTATTTCTATACCAAACACTTTGCCACGATTGCCACATCGTTTCTTTCAAGTGAGACATGAAATCCTCATGGGGAGCAATGTTTAATGAGTGGCCATTACACTATATGTAAACCAGTTGCTGTGTCTAGTGAGTAGCATTGTAGAGTGGCAATATAAATCTAAACAGTTGTTGTTTTTTATTTATAAGTTTCTATTTCTCAAGTGTGGGTGTCATTGTAGATATATTTAATAGTAGTAAAACATGTGCTGAAATGTAAATTATCACATTACGCCCAACACATTGACGTAAATTTCTGAACCCAAAGAATATCTGAGAGGGAACAAAAAGAGTCAACAGTTCAATTACGAATGAATAAATAAAAATACGAGATTAGATTAAATTATGGAAATATCATTAGCTATAATTCAACACTCACATCTCGGTGATGCGTGTAGATCTGGAATTCAGCATGGAATGAGCGAAGAAGGGGAAATAATGTGCTTATAAAGTAGTGCAGAAACCCAAAAAATTACTGAAATTATTCAATTTAATTAACGTAGCCAATTAATTGAGACATTATTTATATGGTGTGGCAGTAAATAATAAATGTTAACATGCTACATTATAAATAACTAATCAATTGACAACCTTGCTTTTATGCACGTTCAATTTATTAGGAGAAAAACAACAAATTATATTTCTATTTTAAACGAGAAATTTATTATAAAATATCACTTTCATTTTAAACGTATGATATATTTGTTCACAATAAGCTGTTAAAATTAATAGAAACAGTCATTTATTAATTATAAACATTAATTTAAAAAAAGAAATATTTTCATAAACTAAATACTATCA